ACATCTACCGTACTCTGTTGGAAGAACTTTCGGGTCAGGTGTCAAGATGTAACGATGAAGCAAGAGCACGTTTGCACCAGCGGACCAACAGCAGCCCCCGACGAAATCGCAAGATGGATCTGTTGCGCACCGAGTTGACTCACGTTTACAAACTCACTTCTCACTTCCTGAAAGATGCCGAGGTGTACCAAGACGAATGGATCATGAACAACCTTTGCGTGTTCACCAAAGATCTGAAGTTGTTTCTTATGGATGGAGAGGTGCAAATGGACTGGGAGTTCCAGAAGTTACGCCGTCACTACTGTGGTCTCATGGAAGAGTTCTACGAGGGCATTGCGCGTACGAAAGATCCCTCGCGCTGGATGACGTTTGAGTCTCGTAAATCCTCATTCGCTCTGATGGAAGACTGGTGTGGATTTTCCCCGAATCAACCTCAGATACGTCAGAGAGAAGAAAATATGCGTCAGTCAATGATTGATCAACAATCCATCGGCGAGCGTGGAACTGTCACTGCTGCCATGGAGATCGAGAAGAGAAACTTGAGGACAGCAGCCTTGAGTGCCATGGCAGCTCTTTGCGCTGGACCTATCAGCGTTACCACCGAAAGCGGTGCTCAACTCCAATTTGACATGCGACGGATGCTGCTATGGGTTGAATCAATATTCAACTCTGGCAGCGACAGGCTCAATCTGATCGGAAGGCAAGCCCTGAAGAACTTGATCATCTGCAACCAAGAATACCCTTATCTCCTGGATGTTTGCATCCGGATGTGCTACTGCGCAACCGTGCCCAAGGTACTCGAAAGCTATTTCACGGTGATCACTGAGGTTCTTCTGGAGCATATTGATTATCCGACTCCTTTCTGGAGGTTGCTAGCTCTTTGCCTTTTTGCTCTGGGCAATGATTCAAGTGACATCAGGTCCAAATCGGCGCGAGTTCTCAGAGCACTCGAAGAACGACAGCAGGCCGCACGCAGTTCCAAGATCCAAGATTTTGATATCAGTATCTCCGACAAAACCAAGGCGGTCTACAAGTTGGCCCAATTCGAAATATCAAAACGCCTCGCGAAGCAACATCCCGAGTTCGCATTCCACATCTTCTCCGAATTCACACTCTACTTTGAGGGCCTCTCCCAGGGTGCCAAACAGAACATGGTAGCTGTCATTTTGCCATGGATTCAGACCATTGAACTAAAGGTTGATCCTAACGGAGGACCCATTGCCAACTCGTATGTGCTACTTGCAAACCTTTTGGAACTTACTATCAAGTCAAGTTCAGCCTTGCATAACGAGGTGCAAGCACTCTGGCAGGCTCTGGCTACTGGTCCGCACCCAGGCAATGTTCGCCTTGTTCTGGACTTCATCATATCGCTGTGCCTCGAGCGGCGGGAGCAAAACTTCGTGGAGTATGCAAAGCAGATTGTCGTCTTCCTTGCAAGCAGTCCAAGTGCGCCGGGGATTAAAGTCGTGGAATTCCTCCTAATGCAAATAAGTCCAAAGGCAATGGTGCCCAACGAGAAGAGGGAGATCGGGCCTGCGCCTTCCGATATCAACCATTTCCCGCACTGCGCCGATCTCTCTCAGGCTCTGCCTATAGGCACGAAACAAGCAGGTTTCTCTCTTGGCCAGTTGTCGCTGATCCTCCTTGTCGACCTGATGGTTTCGCCTATCCACCTGGCCGGGGAGTCTCTGCCGGTATTGCTACAAGTTGTGACTGTGCTATGGGATCATTATACCCCACTCGTTCAAGAGCAAGCGCGTGAGATGCTTGTGCATCTAGTCCATGAGCTCGTGATCTCTAAGATGGATGATGCTACCCCCTTCGAAACTAAGAAGTCCATTGAAGATCTGATTGACGCTATTCGACGTCATGATAAAGCCGTTGTCTGGGGATATGAGGATAGTAACGGCAAGGCCGACGATCGAGACACGAAGGTCCCTCAGGGAATGGAACATCTCACTGCCGAGGTTGTCAAAACTTTCGAGATCACATTCCCTGGCATCAAGGAGCAATGGAGTAGGCTGTCCTTGACGTGGGCGACTTCTTGTCCTGTCAGACACCTGGCATGTCGCTCATTTCAGATCTTTCGGTGCATATTGACCTCCATGGATCAGCTCATGCTTGGAGATATGCTCGCTCGACTCTCAAATACAATCGCTGATGAGGACTCCGAGATTCAAACATTCTCCATGGAGATCTTGACCACTCTGAAGACGCTTATAGTCAAGCTCGACTCAGAGACGCTTCTGAGTCTGCCTCAGCTTTTCTGGACCACCTGTGCTTGTCTGGAGTCTATAAACGAACGAGAATTTCTCGAAGCAGTTGAAATGTTGAACGAGTACTTGGATAAGGTGGATTTCCACGATCCCAACATACGGACGGCCATTTCCAATGGGAGACCATCTAGGTGGGATGGATGCTTCGAGGGCATTCAACCTCTTCTCTACAAGGGTCTGCGCTCGTCTTTATGTTACGAACCAACACTCAAGACGCTCGACAAACTTGTAGTATTGGCAAGCGATGGCTTGATCGGTAACGACGATCGTCTCTTTTTTACAACCATCGCCAATTTCCCTCGTTTCTTGGAAATTGTGGAACGAAACGAGGAGACGCTCCCTGAAGATATCATGCACACTGCCGATATTCTTCTTGCAGTGGCAGAAGCTCAGAATTTCCAGTCTATATGTGAGGCTCTGGAACGCTTCATGCACTGCGAGTATCGAGACAACAAGGAATTCCTCTCCGATCTGTACCGCGGACTACGTGAGGTCTATCTACCAGAGTTGGACTTCAAGATGCTTGTCATGCTCATGGGGTTCTTGACCAATAGTCGTTCCTCCGTCAAGATCATGACCATGCGTATTCTGAGCGTGGTCATCCCAGATACCGAGATGCGGAAGCCCGAGATAGCCGGCCACGGCTCGGATCTTATTTCACCACTCCTGCGACTGCTACAAAGCGAGTACTGCATGGAAGCGTTACGTGTTCTCGACAGTATCATGCCTATGCCGGGATCGTCCATGGATAAGCACCATCTGCGAATGAGCATGACTCAATCTTCATCAAAAGCCATCCGCAAGGAGTATGAGCGCACACAGAGCTTATTCGGAATTCCGGAGGAATCTGGATGGGCCGTTCCGGTGCCTGCAAGGAAGACCGAATTCACTCGCGCCAATATTCATGCGGCGTTCTACATGTGCCAGACCGATACGGAGGATGGCATTCCAACAGACCCGACGCCGACTCCAGAAGTAGAATTCCACAACGACGATTTCCCTTATGGATACTTCCAGATGCCTGACCGTACTGACACCATGATGTCTGATGACCGTGGTGATGGCCAGATGGGCGCAGACCTGGTCACCAAGCTTGATAGCCTAGATGACTTCTTTGATGATATGTCGCAAAGTCCACCCAGCGATGGGCGCTCGTCACGCACAATCACAGAGTTCTCCCCTGAAGGCTACGAGAGTACAACGCAACTATATGACGAGCAGATCTTGCCCATCCTTCACCAAGCATCCAGCAATACGTCTTTCCAGAATGGATTTGTGGATCGTCTACCCGCAGGACCGTCTCCTCGCGAAGGGCCTCCAGCGAACACAATGAACCCGGGCGCTTTTAGTGCCGATATCCCACTCCGTCCCGGACTACTTGCTCGTTCAATCACTTCCCCGGTGGTGCCTGGAAACTACAACGCACAATTTGGCGAGTTTGCCTCCGACGATGAGCTCACTGAAGATGTGTTCTCAGATGGGGACGATGAGAGGCCTAGCCAAGGTGGGCCCGGTGATGGATCTTTCTTTCTTGAGAGTATGATCCGACCTGTCAAACAGGCCACACGCTCTCATATGCGCAGACTCACTGGCGGGCGGTCCAGAGATGCTGAGAGGCAGCGAGACCTTTTCCGAACGCAACTTGGTCAGATCCCTAGCCCGCAAGTTCCAAAAGTCCCGCAGACCTTTCTGAACCAGACGAAACCCGACTCCCCCGGGAACATGATGTGAGGTGGCGGCTGAAGCGATCAGAGATATATGAGGAGAGATGTGGTAATATTTCGAAGCTTGTAAGAGAATCTACGATGTAAACATGATGCATGGAGCCAGGCGAATTGCTATTTCATTAGACTTGTGTCATATATTAGGATTATCTCGGGCCAGGCTTGTTGAAGAACACGCACGAAGAGGTACACAGGAGCTTCGGTGATGTTGAAACGCCAGGATGTGTCTTCGTAGGAAATGCGTGCGCAGTAGACTAATTGGGCCGACAGGCAGTGCCCACACGAAAATACCAGAATACAAACATCATCAATGTGTCCCCGAAGCTGCTGGTAGAGCTGCAAACCGTACTTTAACTGGAGTATCTGCACGCTGAGGCCTTCTCTTGATGGAGCCGCGCGTTGTTGCTTCCACATCCAAAGTCATCCCAGGTTGCTCGAAATGCCATCTGCAGGTCAGTCAAGGCTCAAAGTAAGCACATCCTGCATAGTCAAGTTCAACCTCCGCAGCGAGATCAGCTTGCCATTTCCATAGCAACCCCTTGCGGCCGCAGCTTTGCCCTTTTTGGGGAATGATTTGCTGTCATATTCAATGTGCTCCGCATGTTGCAACCCGGTGAGATGCACCCGCACCAGACGTGCCTCCGTTGACTCATCGCCGGGTTTGGAATGTAAGATTGTGGGTTCTGTAATGAGAATGACATCCTAGCATCTCACTTGCAGGTGTTCTCTTTGCCGATAAAGCCAATCAGAAATGCCCATATCACTCATGCCAGGGGCCTAGTTGAACAGTATAATCAGACCGTACCGCAGGAATTCCTTTACGTTGAAGTACTTAGTCATTGCCTTAAAAATCCTTGCATCAACTGTGCTCTTCTACGGCGACAGCACATATATATGAACATATAACCAACGCGACTTGACACAAGAAATCTTTGGACGTAAAATGAATGTGTCTAGCCGATCGATTGGCTAAGTCTCATTTACATACAGCCTCTGAGATATGTCCCTCCAACAGATCATAGCCAGCACCGGAGAGCTTGTCTCTTTCTGTAACCCATCTTCATTCCCCTCACCGAATGTACCTGGCACGAACATCTCGAATATCATCGCTGAGCCGGTACTCAACTTCTCTGGGGAGGCACCATGGTACTACAACTTCAATAACCCGGGCATCACAGTGGCGAATGCCACTTTCTGCAACGTGACGGTGACTTACGACCACCCCGGCCAGAATGATCTCACAGCTATCCGCGCCTACCTGCCCATCTCTTCGCCCGCCTGGAATGGCCGCTTTCAGGCAGTCGGTGGAGGCGGGTGGGTTGCGGGCATGGGCGAAGTATCCTTTCGTGAGCGAACCCTTGAATGAAACCCTCTTTCCCTCCTGACTCCGTTTGAACCTGTTGAGACTTGGCCTGTGGGGGCACTCATTTGAAAGGCGCAAACCCCAGCGAAGAGGATGGTTCACTGACTCTCAACGCGCCTAGTACAAATGATCGGAGCGCTGGGCAACGGCTACGCAACTATAACCACCGATGCCAGTCTGGCCAACCCGCTAGGAGAGGCGGATTCTTGGGCTATGGTTTCCGAGGGCAATGTCAACCTCTACAAACTCCAGAACCTGGCGAGCGTCAGTCTGCGGGATGAAGCACTGATTGGGAAAAGTCTCATTCACTCGTTCTACGGCGAAGCACCCCAGTACAGCTACTGGTCCGGGTGTTCGCAGGGCGGCCGACAAGGCATGCAGCTTGCGCAGAGATATCCGGGACTATACGACGGAATCGCCGCCAGCGCTCCGGCTGTCAACTGGGCCGAGTCGGTCACGGCCATATTCTGGCCACAACTTGTGATTAATCAGCTCCTGGGAGGAACAAAACCAGCAGATTGTGAGGTCAATCATTTGACGGCCCTGGCGATCGAGACTTGTGATGGCTTGGACGGCATTGTGGATGGCATTGTGTCGGACATAGCGCTCTGCGAGGAAACGTTCAACGCCTTTGATTATGTCGGGACTTCCTTTACCTGCGCATCCACCAACCAGTCGACGAGTGTGTCTCGTGGTGCCGCTGTATTTGCTAGTGCGACATGGCAAGGCCCGCGGACCGCCGATGGCAGGTTTCTCTGGCACGGGCTCAACATAGGGGCGCCTATCACCGATGCGGTCAATGTCGGTAACAGGCAGGCAATCGGCGCCGAATGGCTGCGGCTCTTTGTCAAGAAGAACTCGACCTTTGATGTCAACTCCATGACTCTAGATGAGTACGAGTGGCTGTTTCACAGGGGCGTTGCAGAATACGACAGCATCATCGGGACCAGCGATGCCAACCTGAGAGAGTTCAAGCGCCGGAATGGGAAGCTGATGACGTTCCATGGCCTGGTAAGCAGTTTCCTACGACATGATGAGGATGGACGCGAGAGTGTTAACATGACTAAATCACACCAGTGGGATCAAACATTGCCAACCAAGGCTACGGAAGATTACTTTGATCGTGTGTCAGAGATGACTGGCGCAGAAGCTGCGGACTTTGCGCGCCTGTTTGTCGTGCCGGGACTCTATCACTGTGCCGGCGGCCCTGGTGGACAGCCAACTGCCTTATTTTCAGCTCTTACGAACTGGGTTGAGAACGGGACTGCCCCAGATACTGTGCCCATATCTTTCATCGACCAAAACAACACAACGAATGAAAGGATTCTTTGCCCCCATCCAAGCAGGGCTGTCTGGGATGGGACGGGGCCGACATCTAAGGCCTCGAGCTTTTACTGCACTGAGAGATAGGGGGCTCACTGGGTCATCGGGTATCTGGCTTATGATTAGAGCTGCTCGTAGCAAATGATTACAATCAGACAGTTCGGTTTGACCGAATACTATACACCCCAAGTCTTAGCCCCTCTGAGGGCGTTTTTTCCTTTGGGGTCGACAGTACTAGCCCGTCGCACTCTCTCGTTTTGACGCTCCTCCATCCTCCTCGTCCTTACTCTCTGCAGACTCATTGGCAAGTCTTCGACAGTGTCTGGTTCGGAATCGGAATCCACAGCCGAATCGGCGCCCATTCGTTCCACAAAAGTCTGCCGTTTCCTCAGCGCGGCCCCGTACGAGTCACGGTGGTGAGAAGAGGCAAACCGGCGCCGTTTGCGAAGATTTGCACTGGCGTTGCTCTTGATCTTCTCAACCGTTTGCTCCGTTTCTGCGGCGGTGCTGGATGCAAGCTCACGAGCCTTGATCTTTGCGATGTACTCGTGGAACCTCGGCCGTTCGAGCATACCGGTTCGGAAGGCGTTGACGCCTACGAGGAGCTTCGCCAAGTCCACAAGCTCCTCCAGATATTCGATTATCTCCATCATGCCTGCCGATCCAGCACTCCATGCCAGAAATTTCTGTCTTGTGAGAGACTTGAGAATACTTGCTTCGGGCACCCTCGAGCTTCTTCGTGAGTCTGGGTATTTCACACTCGCTGCTCTGCTGACGGGGGCAGAATCGTGTTGCTCCAGCAAGACCTCTCTTACCCTGCTTGTGTATCGCAAATGTGCCACTCTGCTTGATGGCAGAAACTGTGGCAAGGGGAGCCTTGTGGTCAGAGCCTCGTGTACCGCGAACAATGTCAAGGTAATGCTCGATGCCATATTACGACGGTAGGGGAGAACGTGTTCGTTCAATTCCTCCAAGACTGTACTTCCGTAAGTTTGCCGGATATGAAGCACATGGTCCATGCGATCGATAATCTGATGTAGAACGTAAATAACCTCGTTGTATATCAGCGCCTGTCCCTTGAAACTCCCCTTCAACCGGGGCTCGGTCAAGGTGAATGGAAGAAACGTTTGGGCGGCTGAAAGCGCAGCCTCGGCTTTATCCTTTGCGTGGCAGAAATTCGCATTGAGTGCTTCAGATTTGAGATCGACCGCGCCAGGTTTCTCAATACCTACAGCGACAGACGCTTCCATATTTGAAATTTGTTGAATAGCTGACGCGAGTGACTCAACAAGTCGATCGCGCGCTCGTACTGGGAACAGAATCATTTCAACAAGTAAAGCAACGGTACCTCCTACTAGGAAGCAGACCATTCTTTTCAAAAAGATTCCCCAAGGTTCGCTATCCGGCTGTACAATTGTTGCTATACCCTCGTTAGTGGGAAGCAACGCAAATGAGGTATCTGTATACTCACCAAGGCCAACCACCGACATACTGACAATGGATATGATGCCAGTTTTGACGTAAGGGGTCCCAAGCTGTGTGTAGGCAGCCGGTATAGATGCAATCACCAGCACCACCACAGCAACGACACGATTGCCCTGCCCTATCTCGAACGAAAGGAAGCCGGCTACGCAGCCGTAAATAACTCCTACGACTCGCAGCACAAAACCTTGAATGGACGTTCCGACAGAAACTTCGAAGACCAAAATCAATTGTAGTGATGCCCATGAGGCCCGAACAGAAGCGTACCAGGGGTTTAGTGACGGGACAAAGGCCGGCCAAGTGACTATCCATCCGGCCACACTCATCTTGAGCGCGAAAGCCAGGGCATCCGAGTCAGCGATGAATTCTACCACATCAGCTGCTAGACCGCGAAGCCACAAAACCGTGTTGCTTTCGGATTTCGGGGGCCCCTTCCTCCGGGGGATCTTGCCCAGGGTTGCTTGGTTCTCCTGAGCGCGACCCATCTCCTCGTCTTTGGGATGCCGAAGCAATTGCTCATCACTAGTTGAAGGGTCATCTTCATCGTGCCGCGGATCCTCACCCAGGGCTCCGTGACCACCCCGGGCTTCTTTTCTAGCGTTCTCAGGCACAGTATTGATATCTCTTTCTCCACCAGACTTCAGCCATTTTTTCCAGCTGATTTTGGGAAAGTAGATTCTACGGCGAGCGTGCCGATTGAGCCGCCTTTCGACGAGTACGCGAGAATGCTTTAGCATCATATGTATCTGAGATGCTGCCTGCCGCAAAGTTATCAAAAAGGAGCTGATCAAGAATGTTTCCATTCGCGGCATAATATCCACCTAAGTCAGAAAGTTTAGCTTGAGATCAACTGAGTTGGACAGAGCAATGTCAAGAACGGGTGCATTACCTGTGAGCCTTTCCCATAAGCCATGGCTGCGGCTTTCTCAAGTGCTTCTGCCGAGTTCCTATCAAACATGGCAAGTGCTTGGGTGAATGCCTCTGTTCGGATGTCGATCTCCTCCAGGGTAATTCCATCGGGAGGTCGGGCTCCGGATGGCAACTTGGAGACATCGTATGTATACGCCAAGGAGCAGGTGATGACATCAACTGCTTTGTGTATCTGATCCTGAAGAATCTTGCCGGGGCCCCGAACCTGAGATAGAATTTGCTCGAACAGAGCAAGATCGGCAGACTCTATCTCCCGTACAGGTTTCACGAGTTCTAGGTTGCGAACATGTTTCGATTTGCGTCGAATGTTCTGTGGACGCGCCCCAGGAGAATCGGATGACTCAGCATCTGACGTTGAGGACTCTGAAGTCGAATCAGAGCTTGAACCACTGTCGTCCGTATCACTTCCCTCCCCTCCATTGAGTGCCTGGTCGCCGTTTTCCTCATCTCCCATCATGGCGTATTTGCTTTCACAGGCGTTGACAATGCTGATCGTATTCTGTACAAGACGTGACATGGCCGTGACGCTGATAGGCTTTAGTGATCTCGGCGGGAGAACCGCAAAGACCACTTCAAAATTGCATTCTGCCTGTGCTTTCTTTGAGCCAGCGAGCCTTGCTCGTAGCTTTGGCTTCCTATCCGTCAAGGATACCAGCTTGGTCCGTAAGTCGAGCTCCGGCCCCTTTTCTCCATCGGATGAAGCCGTGTCGCTCGACATAAACCAGTCTCCAGCATCCTCCAGACATTTGACTGCGTCGTGAAGAGTTCCGATGGCCGAGTCTCCCAGAAATCCGCTGGAGGACTGCGGGAATATTGCCACGTTGACCAGGACTACAACGCCTATAGCAGTGAGGATGGGGTAAGATATCTGAGATGCCAAGGCTCCAGAGACTGACGTTGCCGTTCCTGTCAGGACAGTGAGACTTATAAGAAGGAAGAAGAAGACGAATAAGAAGAGCCTTGGGGTAGATGATCGAAGAGTTCCGTGGAATATGACTGCCAAGGCATAGAAGACTGCGCGGATGGCGTATGCAGCACTGATGTTGCTCGCGTATGTCAGGCTCGAGAGGTAGAGTCCTAGATTTGACCATCCTAGCCCGACAGCTGTTCCCATGAGGATCAAGAAGAGAGCCTCGGCCATTTGACCAAAACGCTGGCCAGGGAAACCAAAGACCGTCACCATGGCCCCGAGATAAGTTGAGCGGCCAAACACATCAATCACAGCCGGGATCAGTCCTAAGGTGAGCATGACGGCCGTGCACACTGTGTTTTTGACGATGCGCTGCCAGAGATACCCATTCTGGAGGTTCTGGGTGATGGTGGCCAGCCATCGTCTGCATCGCCTCCGCAGGCCCCTTCCCACTGTTGCTATGGCCATGCTGGCCGCGCTGCGCCCAAATCTATCCCGATGGTCGAGAAAAGGCTCAACCGAGTCATGGCCGGGGATATTCGTGTAGAACAACAGCAACCCCGATAGCGCAAGGGCGTCTCAACGTGGCATGAGGCAGTGAGCATGCAGGCGACCCGTTGTGCTTTGAGCAAGTGGTGATGGTTCCCAATGTGTAAACAGCGAACATAAATTTAGAAGGAGCCGATCTGCGAACAGGATCATCCCTACCTTGGAGCTGCCCAATCTGCCCAGTCGATGAAAGCCTCGAAAATGCCCGTTCTGAGGTGTTAGTGGGGACCACTCCGGGTGCCACTGTGATAGCGCCCCGGCATTCAACGTGTGGGTGGGTGGCTCCAAGCACTCAGTAGACGCCCACCCTGTTATCGACGCTTGCATGGCCAAACTAATAGATGTCTCGCCCCGTGATTACAACTAGACATCGCGAGCATGGTGGCTTACGAGTGATTCTGGCTTTGCTTCGGTTGCACTCATTGTAGTGCTGCGAACTCGACTCAACGGCAATTGACAGGCTGGACGCCACGCGTGGCTCACATCTAGGAATCCACACGCGCCTGTCCCTGTTTTCCATGGGTGTTTTGGGTGTTCGATCGTTGGGCCAAGGCTGGCTCTGGGCTAGGGCAGTTCAGTGGAGGTGCAGTTGGGAAACGGCCAGTTCAGTTCGTTATTAGTGCCCCGCGAATGACGCAGTCCGCAGCTGGGGTCGGGGAGCTTGGCCGGCTCCTCCACTGCGATCAATAACAGCTACCTAACCCATGTGCGGGGCACTTCCCGGGTGCGACGGGGGACTCTGGGAGTCTGCCTTGAGACTCCAACGAGATCCGCTCGAGGAGGACGTTACGTGATCGCAGCCGCAGAGTGATTTGTACCTTAACATCTGGTCCCTCGCCACGATGCCACCTTCAGCAAACCTCATTGTAAGCTTGGACCCCGCGTTATCCCCCCTCGAGGCAACCTGGAGACCCCGCTGACGTCCGGTAGACCAAGATCAAGGTGCAGTTGAAGCTCTCCATCGCGCGCCTGCGCATGGTGCAGCAACGCGATGAAGCACTCTCCAAGACACAGAGAAGATCCATGGCCCAGCTGCTGGAGGCCGAGAAGATCGACTCGGCCAGGATCCGCGTAGAGAACATCATCCGATCCGACATCACGACCGAGCTGTACGAGATCCTCGAGTTATATTGTGAGCTGCTGCTGGCGCGCGCCGGCTTATTGGACGCCCCAACATGCGATCCAGGCCTGGAGGAGGCCGTCAAGAGTATAATATATGCCGCGCCCAAGACGGAGATCAAGGAGCTGCAGCAGGTGCGCGCCCTCCTGGCCGAGAAGTTTGGCAAAGAATTTGCCCTGGCTGCCATGGAGAACTCGGATGGCAAGGTCTCGGAGAAGGTTCTGAAGAAGCTCAGCGTGACACCTCCTAGGGAGGAGCTCGTCACAGGCTACCTCGAGGAGATCGCACGAGCCTATGGAGTAGCCTGGCCGAAGCGACCCAAGGATCTAGGCGCTCCTCCCGAGTACATCGACGACGATGACGATAGCCCCAGCGGTGGGTTGGCACAGAAAGTCCTCGAGGCAGAAATACCGGCAGACAGCAAAGTCGCTCAAGAGAGAGAAGACCTGAGCAGAGCTACGCCACCTCGTGGTCTTGGGCCCGATAACCCTCTGCACATCACTCCGTCGAGTCCTTCTTCAGAGAACCCAAGGCCAAAGGTTACACTTAACTCGATGGAGCTCAAGCCCAGCCAAAAAATGGTTGATGCCGGTCTCGCAAAGAAGAAAGAAGAGAAGGGGAGCTCGGACGGCGTGCCCGATCTTAACGAGTTGGCTGCGCGTTTCGCAGCCCTGAAGCGGTGATGTAGTCGTGCTTGCAACCCCCTTTTTAAATATCTCACATCATTTTGTCGAGTTTATGCCTCGTATTCGGAATCCATTGCATGTGCGTTGGGGCTCGCTGTATTCTCACATAGAGGTGCCTCTAGCACATGATCGTTGTGATATCTTTGATTCTCAGACCAGGACTATTGTGCTATACCGAAAGGCTATTGCCCTCTACATACAACCGCAGCGTGATCGGCTTTTATCCACAAGCAGGAACCATTTTACCTTGACTTTTAACGTGGGCTTTTGCTCTCAACTCGAATTCGACGCTGCAGTGGCCTTCTAATGGCTGGCAAGGTGCATAGTGAGACGGCTGGCTTTTTACAAGGCCGCATTCGTTGCTCCAGCAGGACAACACTTCGGCTGTTATCATTTTGTGATATTGGCGACTCGTTCTGAGGCACAGTTCTAGAATAACACTATGCTGCTGTTGCGGACGTTCAGGTACCAAGCAGATTCCCAGGTCGAACAAACAGAGGTAGCACCTTCCGCTGATAGGATTGTCATGATACAAGTGAAATCCAACTTGGTTTGGCGGCAACGACGGCTTCTACTTCCACCGCCGAACCAAGTTCACCTAGCCATCGCTTTCGTCCGTTTGCTCTGACGACGAATTGATATACGCTTGTCACTTTTTGGTGACCAACGGGCGGCATCTGCATGCTAGCCGAGCAAACGACTTTTTTCACTCCATTCTCTCATGTTGTCGCACCTAACGACGTTCTGATCACATCCACGTTCTTTTCCAAGGCCTCTCGAGTTGCAGCCCGGCGACATCGTGGCCACCATGGATCTAAGCCGCAGTCTCGAGGCACTTGCGATCAAAAGTCTAGACAGTACCGCACTGTCCGAGCTAGAAGCTCGAATAGACCGCCATGTCGGCACGGTGATCTCCAGAGACCAAGCGCTTCATACGTACCTGGGTTGGCTTCGTGAGCAACTAGTACAGGATACCTTCTACCAACAGGAATCTCTCGTCAAGGACTGGATCGACTCGCTGCGCAACCGCGGCTACGAGCAAGAGCTGATTTTCCGATTCTTCAAAGATTGGCAACGGCGAGAGGCCCAGAACGACCCTTTAACTCGCCGTAGATTTCTACTGATCGAAGAAAACATGCGGGCAGTACTGGAAGAGCCACAGCAAGGCATCAACCCAGAGCCACATCTCGCGCAACCTAGTCACCGCCCATCGCAGAAGGAAAACCGTCGTCCTCATCCGGCAGAGCCAGCTGAGCGGAAGAAACCTGCCAAGTCGAGGAAGGAGCGTTCAAACAGACAGAGGACTGGTGCCAACGAAATCCCTGTATCAGGGCCTAGGCGTACAGGAATATCATCGTCTCATGAGGTCATCGTGATCCATGACAGCCCAAGTGAGCCCGATAGGTTTCCCACCACGACTGACCGTACGCCACCCGTGCACGGTGATGCTGTCGCCACACAACCACCCTATGATCCAGATGAGCTCATGATCACCCGGGAGACTATTTGGCTTGATACAACTCCAGAAAAAGTGCGCACTCCCTCTGATCAGGCAGAAGCGCCCCAGTCGAGAGAGAATTATATGACAGCATTTAAGACGGGTGCTCTCGATCAGAGACCGCCTGGTCCTGATTACATATGCAAGCGTTGCAACAAGAGAGGCAAGTTACAAGTCTAGAGGCTAAGATGCTACAGCTCGGAATAACTGACTCTCCAACAGGCCACTGGGTCAACTTTTGTCCAACGAATCTAGACCCGCGCTTCGACGTTCCTCCCGATCCAAAATATCTATGCAAGTACTGTGGGCGCCGTGGGGTACATTTCGCTACGCTTTGTCCATACAATAAGAATGACTGGTCCTTGACTCAGCAGCGAAAGAAATCTAACATCCAGGCACCCACCAAGTCTCCCAAAGTCGCTGGTGATTCATATCGGCCGGGAGAATCCTCCGGATCCCGTCGTAGACACGCAGAGCCCAGATTCCAGTCCCGACTTCGGGAGAACCGGTCTCGTTCACCCATCGACAGAGACAGACAAGCCCTCAGAGAACCGAGATCACCTTCACCTTTTGGCGACGATAGACACCATCGTCGATCTTACAAGGATGGAATCAAGCTCTATGATGAGTACCGCCCTGCTCACTACGACCACGAGGCGCAAGCTTATCAAGCCAAGTCCAGCCGACGCAGGAAGCAACACCAGAAGACTCTTGATCATAGCGAGGGGAGGCTGTATTACGAAGATGATGTGTTCTTCACCGGTATTGAGTCTCCGTCAGTCACAGGGGCGAGTCCTCAAACACGGTGGCTTTCCGGGGTCGAAGAGGTCACTTCCGCTCGATCATGCGATGACAGCCCCGCTTTCAGTGAGAATAATGCGGTAGATATGCTCAGCCCAGAGGACCGCGACAAAGCGGCAGCTGATGCCCATGATTTCCTCGAGGCATTGCGTGAACAGATCCAGGACAACGGTATTGAATCAGTTTGCGCCTCTGAGCTCAATAAAGTCGTCGGCCAAGTCTGTAGCGAGAAAGACATCAATTTGATCGACGGAGACAATAGCGCTCTTTACGAGATGATCGCAAATCCCCCCTTCAGCGATGAAGTTGTACGGCTCTTCTGTGGTCGTGCCATCCCAATCATATATCCGCGCCGACAACGACCTATCGCCCTCGAGTTCTGGAGAGCGACTTGCGATGAATAACACTCAAAAGAGCAACAAGACCTAGATTCCAAGTTGCGGCACGTGCAACTAATGACGACAGGGCTGCCCTCTTACATCAGGGTTCACGTCCTGGCCGTCGTAGTGGAGATCGGACTGAATGGAAATTGGGCGGTTGTGGTAAGAGACTGCCTGACTCTTTACTATCAGCCCGAACAAGGTTCATTAGATTCTTGAGTCAAAGAGGGAATAATTTCCGCGAGTTTCCTCTGATCAAGGGAGAACGCCTTTGCACAATCTTGTCACCAATATCGAGCTAGAGTGTAGACCCGAATCCAGCCCTATTTTTTCTTATAAAACCTGTACGCCCATGCAGAGAAAGTTTCCAGTTCCGACATGACTTGTCGCCATAGAACTCCTAAACGCCATACCAAATGCCGTTGCTTTGCAACCCGTAGAATCAGCTGATCATCGTGACTCCTTCCCCAGCGCTATTCAAGCTTATCCAGATGCTCTAGCCGCGTCAATACGACTTGCTTGCTTGTCTCCTCGATCTCGCCCGCCAGGAATACCTCGTCGAGGATGGCATAAACCTTGTAGAAGTTGAAGACCAGGTCCAGCTCGCACACGTTGCCGAAGAAGGCGTCCAGCACTTCGACGAAGAAATGGATGGCCTCCAGGAAGGCGAGCTCGTTGTCGTTGGTGTCGACGCAGGCGCAGAAGAAGAGCCCCGCGTACCGTCGATACACGATCTTGTTGTTCCGGAACTCGACAAAGTTGGACTGGTACTTCTGGTCGCGCGGCGCGACAAGACGGTGGACCTGTTGGGGGGAAACCCTTGTCAGATATCAGGTAGATCCCCGGAATTCATGGAAAGGGCATCGCAAGCAGGGAGCGCGCCAGGGCATCCTGTGCCGTCGGAGGCGGAGGGCGGCCTACCTCGCCTTTAAGCTTGATCTTCTCGTCGTCGCTGTACGGCGCGTACCATTTCGCTAGGCGGGTCTTGCCTCTGGTCGGGAGAGGGCTGTGTCAGCGGTCACAATTGGGGCAGTGGGAGGCTTCAGGGGGCGTACTGCCGGTTCTGGATCAGGATGAACGACAACATTTTGGCTTGGAGTCTGTCGGGGCGCCGGTTCGCGAGAGCGTTGCGGATTTCAGGAGCTATCGTGGGGAGTCGGCCATTGGAGATGCTTGATAATGGACGTCCAGGGGTCTGTCTGGTGGGGGTTCGGGGGGCCGCCTGCTGGTTGGGACCCACTAACCCAAAAGGGGTCCGCCCTTACATGACCGTCGACGGCTGAGACCAGTGACTTACACCGTCCAGGTCGCAAGCACTATGTAATATTTCAACCCGCCTTTGATGGAGAGGAACATGCAACATTGGATGCATCCACGGGGAATTGCAAAGTGAATATGACTTTGCTATACCCCGGTAAGCCGCTGATCTTCGTGTAAAACCCGTCAAGGCTTATTTGTGCCCGGCTAGACAAATTGCGCACAGTTTGTACTCTATTTGCCGAAAACCTCTCCCTCGATCAAAGGCTATATAGCACAAAAAAATAGTCAAGATTGTATGAAACAAGTCCAGTGCATATGTTTACAAGCAAAGTTTCGAAACTTTGTAGTTTGCGGTCCCTGGTGACTTATTTCTTGAGAAGGTTCAATCTAGGATTCCAAGCTTCGTTTCGGCTTTTCAATGTCCTCAAGAGATACGAAATACGGCTTCTCTACCGATATACTCTGGGTATATTTACTTAATCATGATAATTTCTTCTTCAACCGACATAAATAAGGCTCGGAAACCTAGTGTCATCTTAACATCATAAACCCCAATACGTCGAAAGTGCCCAGGTACGGTCTCATCAGGTGTGACGAGAAGATCCATATGCCAACGCGATGGGACACTATCCAGTTCCGGGGCCAACAAAAGCATCCAGACGTCCCAGAAGGGTTGTGATGTGCCCACACTGGAATCTGCCCCCGTCGGGACTTCGCAGGTATCCCAACCCTGGAGGTCGTCATCTGGGGCATCGAGGTACACTACTGTCGCTGGTAGAGATGCCTTTGTGAACCAACTGGACGACCATTTTTGAAGCATCGTGAAGGCACTTGGCTGGTCATCCTCGAAGCCGGAAAGGTACGGAATCCCGTCTGCTGTCCTCACTAGTCTTGCACGAGCTGCTTTGCAACGCACTGTCATTATGCCCCTCTCAGCATTTCCAAAGGCCAGAGCGGCATCTATGGGTTTCACGACGGTGTCCATTATATTGGGCCAGTCTGGCCCAGTAAACAGGGAAGCCGAACTGTCCACACTGGCCCAGGACCAAGTCGGTGCTCGCTCACGCGCGCGCCTGTTTCGGTCGCCAATGGCGGTCTTCGGATAAATAGTGTAGGAAGTGCCATTTCGGTGGATCTTCTCGCCTACAAGATACCAGGCCGCCATGTGCCGTATTCCCTGCCTCCACAGACCGGCGGCATAGTCCCAGCCGGTCAGTCGGGAGAACTCCTGTGCGATACCCGCCAGAGCTATTAGTCTATCATTTGGTTGCGTGATCTGGCGCTGGTAGTACTGCCTGACGATGGAGATCCAAAGGAACGAAACGTCCCGAGGGTCTTTGCGTCTTGGAAGGTCCCACAGCATCCGGGCACCTGCGCCAAGTTCTCCTATACCCAGCTCCTCGGGTGTTGGCATCATGGAGTCTCGATAGGATCTGGAATGGCAAATCCAGGACAGGGTTCTGGAACCGTAGATAAGAACCCTGGGAGATAATAGCCGCTCCTGTAAAGTCCAGGCACGGAGATCAATCGGCTCGACCAGCCGCTCCATATCCATTTTGGCCTGGTCGTGGAGCAGCACTGCATCCTTATGGTCGGCATGTTCAGCTTCTGGGCCCCTGCAGTGCAAGGCGATCGGTGGCGTTGGCTTGGACCAGGTTTGCGACATGTCTCTGGGGTTCAGAAACCCGTCAGAGGAAGAGCGGGCGGTTCCCGCGACAAGCGTGAAAACTGCATTTTTATAGATTTCGGGCATCTGGCCGAGCTCTTTGCGCACATCTTCGCGGTCGTCTTGAATAATGCAGAGGGAATCGATCCATATATATGGTACTTTCAGAAAGAAGGCAACCAACACAGAGTCTGCAATAGTTTGAGGAAGCTCGGAAAGAGCGATGGTACGACGGCCGGACACAAAGTTACGTGTAGTGGTCTGCAATGGTTGAGGGCCGCCCCAGCAGTAGCTCAAGCTGCACCATGGTAAATAACCTAGATGCGTCGTCTCGACTACCTCAACATCTGATACATTCGTGCTAGAAGGGACTTTGAGCAGTCTGGAAGGGGTAAAGCTCGTGGGAACAGGTTGGCATCGCTTGTGAGTGGAAGAACAGCAGCATTCTGCCAACCAGCCATGGGCCTGGGAGAACGAGGCATCTGTTGCAGCTGAACTTGGCCACACTCGGTAATCTCTCAGCCATAGGGGGTTATTGGTTCCTAAAACTAGTCAGGGGTTTGCCCGTGTATATTCGGCCATGGAGGGCACAGCGTGGGGCACAAATACCTTGAGCAAGCCCTATTGCGTACGTAAAGAGCATATGCGCTCTAGGATCACGGTGGTCGAGCCCTCTATCGGAGCCAGAGATGGTGCCGACAGGTGGATTGTATGGTCTCCTGTAGTCAATAATGACGACTGAGGCCTCAAATATTGGGCACAGTCGCGTTAGGGGATGCGTCAAGACAACTTCTAATTCAGCTTTCCAGTTGGGAATCTTTCTCACATGCGGCCACGTGCCTCGTCTTGTGAAGTTGAAGAAAGGGCATCCAGCTTTGGATCCTTCAGCGACTGATCTTTCTGAAAAGCCCCCGATGTCGAAGTATAATGCCGACCCGACAGCGGGAGCTGGTGACTCGGGCGACATTTCAACGAACAGTGCCGAGCAGTGTCGACAGGAATGAGGCTGATTCGTAGGAACAATGGAAGCAGCTCTCTGCAAAGCAGCCAAATGCTGCTGCAGCGATATCTGAGAGCCGGGGGGGTTAGGAGCGCTCATCGGTTTTGACTTTTTATTTATTTATTTTTTTATTAGTAGACGGGAACGATGGGTGCTCATGACATCCGGGCCTGTAGCACGATTTTCCAGCGAATAGCAGTGGAAAATGACCCTACAGATATCGCAATTTTGAGTGTATACCAGCTGTTGCGAGTTTGACGCAGTTGTCCCATTCACTGTGATGAGGGACACAGTAAACCCGCAACAAGCGAAACGCTGAAGGTAAGCCGCTGCTATTTCTGGCAGGCGGTCAGCAGAATGTGCCGCGACGCACGAAACACCACGATATACCCAATGTTCAGAACGTCTCCGGTTGAAAAAAGCCAGTATGCATAATAGCAGTACTGGGACGTGGATACATTTCTGATAGTCAGACTAGTACAATCCCAATCACCGGGCAAGGACGTAGAATATTACTACTTGGATTATCTTGATATCAAAACTGCACTGAGTCAACAGGTGCCGATCTGAGATCAGTGACTCACCAGATGTCCTCATAAGCACGATATTATCAACAAGCTAAAGAATAAGCGGACGTAAATGCCAAGACTGGTGAAGAAAGTAAGATGCGAGTTCCTTCTTTTCTAGATGTGTAAGCACAAGTAATTCACAACCAGGGGGTGAAAAGTGAGCACAATAATTATAGCATTGAACATGCACGGAAGACTATTCTGCAGATGGCTACGCTGTCACGACCCTCAGAGGCTGACGATATCCTTGCCGTCAGCCTGGATTCCTGAAAGGCGTATGATACTGGATAGGAGACTGTAACATTAATGAGGTGGGTCTAGAATCTAAGCTTATACAGTACATAAAATCCCCCCGATGAGTTACACGTCTGTATGCACTCAAGGTCATAGTATCTCAATCTTCCCTTTCATTATTTTTACACGTTAATCAAAGACGCAACGGAAGGTTTAAATAGAGAACTTCTCAGAAACCAGCTCCTCGCTCGTCTGCCAGCATCTTTCCGCAAGTTCCGGGTCTGTGGCCCACTCTTTAACGGCCCTGTTGTCTGTTGTTAGGTTCGCATCCTCCAAGTAGATGCCCTCCTCGTTTACGAGATCTGGGTCGAGCGCCGCGCGTAGAGTCGTCGAGCACCCTTGCTGTACCGTCTTGGCCGTTCCGAGAGCCCTGTAGGCGGCAATCGACATACCGAAGCATCGCCAGGAAGCCTCGTCCCAAATTTCCATTGCTGCGAGCCCCATGGATTTCGCATGCACCTGCAACCCCGTGCTAATGCTTCCTGGGTGCAACGTGTACACGTGAATGCCGTACGGAGCCAGCCGCTTCTTCAAACCTACTGCGTACAGCATCATTGCCACCTTGGAGGACCCGTACGCCGCAGCTTCGTCGTACGATCCCGGGGCTGCGAAGTTGGGGTCACGGAAGCGGAATGGATTGTATCTGTGCGATGAGCTGCTCACGAAGACAATGCGCGACCCAGTTCCAGCGGCTTTGACCTTGGGCATAATTGTGTTGGTGAGCACGAAGTGCCCGAGGTGGTTTGCCGCCAGCTGAAACTCCAAACCATCCTCCGTCGTTCGGTAAGGGCATCCCATCACCCCGGCGTTGTTGATGACCACATTGATCTTGGGGATTGCCGGGTCTTGCAGAATTGCTTGCGCCGCCTCCCGCACACTCTTCAGGGAAGCCAGATCTACTTGGACGAACTTGACGAGGACCTGCGGGTCGACGCGCCTGATGGCCTCGATAGTAGACTCAGCCTTCGCAGGTGAGCGTCCGAGAAGTATGAGCGTGGCAGGAGACCCATGAGCGAGCGAGATGGCCGTCTCGGCACCAATGCCTCCCTCGCTGGGTCCGGTAATTAGAACTGACATGTCATAGTTAGTCGCGTTAGTTTGTAAGTAGTCTCCTGTCGATGCAAATGGACGTACAGGTCCTTCCCTTTACCTGGTCGGTAAAGTCCCCAACGATAGTTAAGCCTTCCGTAGCGCGGTTGTACTTGGACATTGTGATAAGTGATGTTTGTCGAAGTTTCTTAACCATTAGAGGCACACAAAAAGAGACGTCCGAGAAGCACAGTCAAACAACTGTTTTTGTTGGCATCGGGCGTCAATTATATATGTCGTGTAGACCTGCAGAGATGGGATTTCCGGCTTCCCCCCGTTAGCCCCTAACACCGGATCACGCCAAATAATGTAAGAAACGCCATCTTTAAATTCACAGTAGAAAACTGATTTACCATTCATTATGTCAGTCTCGTAGAGTGATTTCTCGTCCCAACGAGAGCGTCAGCGAAAGCGTCAGCGATGAGCTCCGCGCAGCAAGGTCAGGATGCCGGGAAATATCTGTAGCTTGGTCTTATATGGACCTACGGAGTATTCGCCCTTTAAGTCCGCCGGGATAGTGTGGTGGCACTTCTGAGCGCCTGCGATACAAGCTCTACGTACCAATATGACAATGAACCTGCCACGGCTCAAAGTAGACGTTTTTCTCACAGCCAAATCTTAAGCCAAAGGAGTCATAGGAATCTGGTAAAAGACAAGGCCACAAATGCAACACTGCCTTATTACTAAGCTTGTATGGTGGTAGTTTAATTTTCAGCGCCATTAACTCCCATCCTTGTTAAGCGTAGGCCCCGAGAAAGATTCTACAGAGTTTTAAGTCCATGTAGAAGGTATTAATAGAAGATGCGGAATCTACATGAGTTCTCGACTGCGGGCTCGGCTTGACAGGTTTTGGGCAGGAGAGTGAGGCTAGACCGGATCAGCTTATTGGGTCTTCGGTATGTAGACCGTTCTCTACGAAATTTCTCCAGCCACAATTACCTGACATATCGCAGAGAATAATCAAGTCAGCACGCACCTGAACCAGAGTAAACGTTTCATTCTAGGCAATGTCAAATATGTGATCGATTTAGATTGACCCAACCGACTCTGGAATTCCAGCATTGGTGATGTGGGAATGAAGTGGCGCAGCTAGTTCGGCAAAATGTGGCGCTCGGACATGGACAGAATGACTTCACGTTAGGCGTGGCACAAGCATCGCAACCTCGTTCCTCTTGCAATCATTCGCGAATTGTCAATTCCAGCCTCCCCTCGCCTCACCTTGTCAGCTGTATAGAAGCTGCAAAGTCTGTGAGGGCAGACTCCAGCGCCGATGAGGCACGATGACTACTCCCGCCGCCTCTGGTAGGCAGCCAAATGAGTTGTTCGAGTTCGCTTTCCGCCTCGGTACAAGTGACGGCAAAGCCTGGCCTGAAGAGCAGTACAGGGGTACCGAGAGGCTTGATCCTGAAGGATCCGAAGAAGAGAAGCAGAAATACCATGAGTATCGCCTCAAGCTCGCCGGTCTGCTGCGCGACCAGATTTTGGTGTACCAGGATCCCAAAAGCAGAGGTAGGTACGGTCTAGTTGAAGCGGAGATACGATCAGACACTAATGGCCCACAGGCCGTACCTATATTCTAAAGGAGCTCCCAGAGCATTACCACATCCGGAGGAAGAAGAGTAAGTCGTATGGATGCCTACACCCTTCGCTGCCATGCTAATTAGGCTCGGTAGGGTCGAAAGAAGGAAAGGACAAGAAGGACAAGGACGTATTTGATTTTTACATCTATGGGCATCCTACCAGTGATAGGAGCGGCAACCCCAGATGTCATAATTCACCAAATGATTTTTTCCCTCATCTACTGTGGTTGATCAGTGGCGCCAAGGACAAGTCTTACTGCAGTTGCAAGCTTTGCAATAAGACGAAGAAGCCGGAGCCAGAGTTGCTAAAGAAGAGAATCGCCGTGCCACCGGACCCAGAGCCTGCACCTGTCCCTGCACCTGTCCCTGCACCTGTACCTGCAACTGTATCTGCACCAGCTCCTATATCTGCTACGTCCGCCGCGCCACAGTCAACATCGATGCGGAGAACGGCGTCAGCTTCCTCAACAACCCCCAAAGCTGCAGCAAAGCCTGCAAGCCAACCGCAACCAGCACCCACTGTTCAGCAGAGCACCACACCTATTCCTGTGCCTGTGATTCCAGGTCAGCATCAACTTCAACCTCGGCCTACGCCGCAACCTCAGCCTCAGGCAGCTAGGGCTCCTGCTCCAACGTCGACGGTTCCGGTTCCGGTTCCGGTTCCGACGTCGACGGCTTCTGCTCCAGCCTCGACTGCTCCTCAAGATGAGGCTGCTATCTTCAGGGAAGGGGAGATCGTCTGGTACAAGCACAACAACGCGTGGCGGATCGGCATCGTCCTCAAAGCTGCCCCCGCAAACCCAGCTACTGCTACGCCGGCAAAATGCCTCGTTAAGCCTCTTGCCCATGCCGCATTACAGATTGACAACGTTTTGAAGAGCGATACTGATATGCGGCCCTTCCTGGCGTTCAGTGTTCCACCTGGTAAGATTATAATCACTGATCACCCCAACAGATTATTCTCCTTACCCCTCCCCCTTTCCTTCTTCTCCGGCCCGGACCAAGCATTGGCAAGCGTTGAGTGGCGGCTGACTTCTTTGGAAAATAGTGAACACGAAGGAGATACGAGGCCGCCGGATGCATGAAGTCAACTGGCAGCAGATGCAAGCTCACCTTGCTGGCGATGATAGACAGAAGCAAGAGTTCATTGGACTTGAAGCGTCTAAGATGGCAGTCGTTGAAATCGATCAATCATACTCCACGTTCAACACCATCCCCGAGCCACCCAATTCCCCGAGACAAAGAGTCGGCGGCCTGTTTCTGGGTGCTGAACGCATTGCAGTCAATGAAGCCGTTCGAGTACGTCTTAGTCCCACTGAGATCAACCCACAATGGGGAAAGACCGCTCCGATCGTTATGGCTCTGCGCGACATCTACGTTGCTGCTGATGGTTTGCATGTCGTGGGTGATGTGTACATCCTTAATGAGACTGTCATTCAGCAGCCCAGTCCGCAAGTTCAATTGCCTGCTGCGATGCTGCGAGAGCAGGCGTTCCGTAATGAGATCAGGAAGCCCCTTGGAACACGTTACGACTGGGTATGCATTCAGCAGAACCAGGACAAGCGCGAGGACTCGATACGTGGCCGGTTCTACGAAACATCAAAGTTGATGCCCATCCTTGATGCTGAACGGTTCAAGGTGGCGCTAGAGAGGGGTATCGTGGAGGACGTGCAGAACTACTTGAACAACCGCCTGGACTCCAGCGGCACGTACATGGGCAGGAGGAAAAATCGACTTGAAACCTTGTCAACGTCTGTTCCCGAGAACTTCTTTCTGAGCCTTGGTCCACACGTCGTTGAGGATTAAGAGTGGCGGCCCTGCCCCCCC